TCCGGATCAGCAGATAAATCCTGGTGAAGCAGCACCGTCCCATCCTCTCCTCCCTCAGGTCCCAGCAAGGTCCAAAACCACCACTGAGATCCACATGGGCTTATTAAGAAGTAAAACTGAAGTTTATTTGCCATTTCCCCTTGAAGTCTTACATTTTATTTCAGTTATAAGCAGAGCTGTCCTCTGTGTAGTTACACTGGGACGGTTGCTGAGCCGGTCCACATACTGAGGAGTTCATCTGTATTATTCTGATTATGAATGATGTTGTTGTGCTTGATGTCTGCTGCATGACATTTAGCAGAGATGCAGTTGTGATTTTCTGGAACAGGATCAATAACTTCACCGACATGAAGCCGTTGTTGTACGTTTTTTATTTACTCTGTGATCCATCGACTGGGTGGAAGTAAAAACCCCAATTTTTGCAGGAAGAGCTCCGGAGACTATTTTAAAATTCACTCAAGTGTCTCTTATCCACAGAGCCCAAGGTTCCCTCTTTTGCCTTTACAGTCATGGAGCCGTTTCTGGCTGAATTTGAGGATGTTTTCTCAGTTGGAAATTTAAAAAATAGCCTCGGGCTTAAGGAGCTGAGGCATGAACGTGTGCGAGGCTCGTTTTACAAACATGTGAAGGACCGCTTCTTTTTTCAAAGTCTTCTGGAAAAAAAACTCGCTTTCAGTGCAACTTTCTTGGTTTTATAAAGTTTGGAAACAATAAGATGATGAAATGTGGACGTGTGATGTGAATCCAAGCACATAGAAACACAAACAAGCCGACACCACGGTTCTGAGCCCGGTTTGAAGACATCACAGAGCCGCTGGATACAGATGCACACCTTCAAAACTCATCAGAAAACACTGTCGGTCTGAAAACATCTTTAAATCATAGTTAGTTCAACACAAGTTTGAAGATATTTGTCCTTAAAAACAACAACAACAGGCTGTAAGTAGCTCCAGATAAAATCATGTGGAGAAGCTCAGACGTGTGTCAAAAGCAAACACAGTGAAGTCTTTCCTTTCGCTCTCTGCAGGTTTGAACTGGTCTAATCTTCCCGCTTAAACAACTTTGCTTTGGTAGTTGGAGGCGACGCCCAGAGAGCGGCGGACGAACCAGTTCTGAGCTCACCTCAGGGTTCTGAGCTCACCTCAGGGTTCGGGCCGCACACGGTGCAGCTCTGTGCAAGTAGTGACAGTTAATGAGAGTGTTTCATGCTGTGAGCTAGAAAACATGATGGAACTGTACAAATACACATTCGCTCCATTAAGAAGGACTTTAACAGTATAAACACACGGGGACCATTCACTTTACACATTTCCCTTTCATAACCCAACAGTCACTGTAATATATATATATTTATCTTTATCTTTATTATTTCTGTAAGGAAAATGGTATTATCATCATATAATAGTGACTTTTAACAATATAAGTCACTATTATATATATATATTTATTTATCTACAAATGATCACTGCTGTAAGTTAAACTGGTTTATTGTTCTGAAGCCGCAGTCGATCTTTTAAACCAACAACACTCATGAGAAGGTGGATCGAACCAGCTGTCAGCAGTCAGGATTGTCTCATGTGCTACAAGCTGCTGTTTCATAAAACCTCTTCATTATACTGCCAATAAATCCATCATCTTCCTCATGTAGCATGACGCAGCTCCTCAGGCTAACACGCTGCTATCAGGCTAACACGCTGCTATCAGGCTAACACGCTGCTATCAGGCTAAAGAAATCTGGTTTATTCCCATCAGGCTACAAGGAGGGTTTATTTGTTAATCCTGGGTCAGGTTATTATTATTAACAGTGTGGTTTAACTCTGAATAAAAGGCGTACAGTGAGTACAGAGGTGGAACCATGTTCAGTGGGCCAAAGCTTCACGGCCGGGTCTCTGTGGTTCTGTGAGTTTTACTGCAGCTTTATGTCGACTTTCACAGCGATCACGCCAAAATAAAAAACAGTGTTTAGTGGTGAAACAAGTGTGTCTGAAGAGTTAAGACTAATTGTGTTCATAATTTTCAGCAAAATCATTGCTGAAAATAATATCTGTTTTAATGTTCAAATGATCATTTAATTCCCATTTTAATGCCAAATTAAATGTTCAGGTTCTGCTGCTCTTTTAGCAGTGGAAAAAAGTGAAATCCTGTTAGTTGAGTTATTTAACCTCCATAAATTATATCTGAATTGGTCCTTTTTTTATGGTACAAACTTTTATTTTGTTGTTTTCTATTTTTTCTTTTAAACAGTAAATATAGGTTCGCCTTTATTTTGAAAATCACATTTTGACAGTTACCCCAACAAGTCCAAAAACCGGCACGTTCTCATCTAAAATCCTAATTATCTCAACATCCTTTCATTTTAAATCATCTGACAGTCAGTCATATATGTGGTTGTAGGTGTTTCCTGTACATCTGTAAACATCTGCCAGCGCCGGTGCCGGACCGCTGAACATCGGGTTTATTAATCTGAACAGGATTATTATGAACAATGTGCTCCTGGGTGCTTCTATCATGTAAGAGGTTCAACAGCTTTGTCACCATCTTGGCTGATTGATTTTTGCACATTTGCAGGTTTAGGCTCATGGATTTGTTATTGAAACTAAAACAGATCCAATCATCAACAGTCTGGTCTGTATAGTTCAGCTGTAGGTAGAACCGGGCCTCGGTCCGCTCAGAGTAACGGCAGATATACATCTATACCATGATAATGAGCTTTTTTAACTCTTGCTTACATGTGCACCAGGAGAGGAATGATGTTAGAAACAATCCTAGTAAATAAATAAGAGTCCTGTGGAGATCACAGCCTATGAGACCTATTAAGGCATCAGAGCAGCGCTCAGCTCATTTATGTTTTAAATGTTATTCTGAAGCTTTCTCGTCTATGATGTCATTTCCCAATAACATATAAAACTCATTTGTAATATTTAGTTTAAAAAACACAAACCCGACTAGAATCACCTCCTGCATTATATTTACAACCGGATCAGAACTGGTTTCTTGTTTCCAACATTTGTCAAAATAAAAATAGATTTTAGTTTTAAGTGGCGTTTCCCTTTAAGACGACTCCTCCTGTGCAGTCCGGCGTCTCTCAGTAGTAAACAGCTCTGACACAGTCGGTCTGTGAAGCGGGTCACACGTTGGTGATTTCGACACTCTTGAAGGTGTGCATGGGGCTGCCTTTGGTGCGGGGAACCGCCTGCACTTTGGCCTCTCTGGGCAAAGAGCCGCAGCTGCCGTGGAAGCCCAGACTTCGCTCCACCGACTGGCTGTTGGCGCGCAGCCTCAGCGGACTCTGGAACAAGACACAGGCAAGAGTCAGAGCTGGTGTCAGGACCAGAACTTCCCTTTAAAAATGACCTGCTGACCTGGAAGCAAAGCTGACGACTGAAACCACCAAACAGGAACAGCTTGATGAATCCAGCTGGGGGGTCACTGGTGTGTTTGATCAACTTTATCTCTCATGAACATGTTCCAATAAAGAAAAAAGAATAATCTGGTGTAGAGGGATTCAACCAGAATCTCAGCTGCATTTGGAGAGCTGCTCAAAACTGCTGTTATTTAACAAGTTTTGATCTTTTATTCTGAAAAAATCAATATGAGCAAATTAGTTCAACACGTGTCACTGAGTCATACCATCTCAGTCCACATATGTAAAGGATCCTTCAACGTGTCGTGTCCCACATGGACATTTCCTTACATCACCTCACCTTGTATACATACATGTACATAATCTTGTTGTTATTTTCTTTATTTGTTTTATTCCCTTCTTGCACCGTTTGGTAATTAGATTTATTTATTTCCGCTATTTCTCTCTCTCCTTACATTCATTTATATATTTTTATTTCTTGTGTGTTTTATTCCTTATTCTTATTTATCTCATTATTATTATTTCGGCGTGCACAACACATTCCACTGCGCGTTGCATCACGTATGACTGTGTTTGTGACCAATAAACAACCTTGAATCCTTGAATCATATGAAGGGGCGCCGTGCTATCAAAACGTTCTGTTCTGAAACGCATTGCGCAACAGTTTTACCACCACAACTATTTATTACTTGTTAATTGTAGTTTGAAATGGAGCTCAGTGCGAAAAAAACCCACAATAAACACAGAGAGGAATGCAGGACACTCTGCAGTCTGATGTCATGTTACATGTATGAGTCTAAAACTGACATAAATAATAATAAGTTTTATAAAATTAAACAAATCTGAAGAATAATACGTGTTGGGTGAATTGTCCACAACTAGTAAAGTATCAGAGCTTTAGTTTGTAGGATGCTTTCATTAGTGAAGCTGATCAGTGTTTGTTTCAGAAACAGTTCTTCAAGGTTGTTCTAAGAACTCTGTGTGGATCTGTGCTGCCTCAGTCGGGCTCAGAGCCCAGTTCCTCTTATCACACAAGAATTTCCTTTATGACTGTGTTTCTGTCCAGGACAGGTCCAAAGTTCCTGAACTCTTTGCACAGTAAAGCACATTTCAGTATTTATTATTACTATTTATTAATGATTGTGAAATGAAATCACACCTTTCCTGATCTTCTCATCGACACCCTCTCGTCAGCGAAGCGGTTCACAGCCACTGGGGAAGAGGAGCCGATGATCTCGCTGCACTGCTCGGCATTACTGGAAACACAGCAGACTTTTATTTATGTCCTGATCCAAGATTTATCTCATAAGAACACTGTCATATAAAACTGAACTGCAGAGGACATCTAACTCTTATTAGAACAGAATCAGTTAAGCATAGGAAGGTATCGGAGGAGTTCTGAACCCACCACAGAGGAACAGCGAGGGACTTCATCTCTTCGTACAGATGCCGATGCAGCATGTGCTTGTTGCTGGGGATCCCCAGAGCTTTGGCCATGGCGTCTGTGTCAAAGGACTGGTCCATGGCGATGACTGCACCATGAATCCCTTTACCCTGAAGATTGTCTGCAAACTCCTAAAATAAAAAGAGAGCACAGAAGATCAGTGAGGAGCATAAGTCAATGCACAGGCCTGCTAAAAATGTCTGCTCGGTCCAGAAGCTAAGTTTGAAAGCAATTACAGGCGTACCATGACGAAGCCTCTAAAAAACAGAAATGATTTAGTGTTTGTCTTTGCTTTTAGTTTGAGTTGCCGCTATAGGATACTGAACAAAATGTTCCTCGCTGTAAGTGCAGACCCAGAAAAGCCCTCGTGCTGTGTGGTCTTGGTCCTGTTTCTGTGCACGCCACAGCTTCTCTTCTGTTCCTCTGTCGGCGGTGTGAGGCAACAAAGCAGCAAGGCTGTCATTATATTTGAGGGAGTCCTGAAAACTCGTACTTTGTGGTATCTGGTTGCAGTCTGGGGTAGAAAACCCCGGTCCAGAGGGGAATACCGCCCCTGACCGCCCCACCCACCTTGAGGTCGATGTCTCTGATCCACTTCATCACCCGGTGACACGTCCAAACAATGGGGTCCCAGTTCTGGTGCTCGCATTTTGTCCGTCGCGCCTGCAGGGCCTTTAAAACACGACACACACAGAAAACAGCAGTAATGTGACGGACCAGTGAAAACACAGACAGACACCAGGGGAGGATGAGGGCCTGCTGGGTTCATGCAGCACCGGGAGCTCCTGTGTGCCTCCGGCTGCAGTGGGTAGCAACAGGAATCACATACAGCTGAGAAAACGCTGCAGAAAACATTCATCTACTGAGAAACAACCTCCAGTCTGACCTCTTTATCGAAGCCGAGCATCTGCAGGAGCTGGATGGCCAGGAGCAGACTGGTCTGGTGGAACTGGTCGCCGATGTTGAGGTGGCGCTCCAGGTCTCTGCGGCTCAGAGAGTTCAGCACCCGTCCATCTACGAGGTGGCTTTGGAAGGTTTGGGAGTACTGAGGCAGCCCCACGTCGCTCAGCCACGACGTGGAGACCCAGTGATGGTCCAGCTCAGACGCTTTGGACAGTCTGGAGGATGATCAGAGTTTAATCAGCACTGGTGGAAGAACTAATGCACCACAGTACATGGAAAGGTGCAGCTTCCACAAGTGTTATCGGACATGTGTGAGGTGGAAAATGTGAAGAATAACTGAAGAAAAATGACACCTATGAGTGTCACAGTGATGAATTATGTTATTGATGCTGCTCTTATGACAGGCAGGATTTTACTGTTGCAGGCCGTCGAGAGCCTAATTAGCCTCATGTGAACACATGCACGCTGTTTTCTGAGGTGTTTTCTATTTACATTTTAATCTGTAAAGTCAATGAAGCTGCCAGATTTTGTAAATGCAGTTCACTGATATGACAATGTTTTCCTCTACATCATGGTGGAGGATGAAGGAGCATAAAGTCCAACACAAGTACCAGAGTTTTGTACTATTTAGATCCTACTATTAATAGAATACGGTTATTTTCAGTGTTCTGTCGGCTCTACTCACCCCTGGTCTCCTTCAGCTCTCCTGTAATCCTCGATGGCCAGCCTTACTTTCCTGCGATGGATCGGGTTGCTGATGCCCAGACCCAGCTCCAGATCCTCATCTGTCAGGCCCAGCAGCACCTGAAGAGCACCAATCCAGTTCTTTGTCAAACAGAAACAGCACCTGAGCCAGCCCATCTGCTCACATCGTACGCCACTTGCAAAAAAAAGCAAACAAACAGCAAAAGAGCGGCGGTCACCCGAGGCGTACCTTCCCGCTTTTGACGTTTTCAGAGCAGGCTCGGATGTACATGGGCATTCCCATGACAACCTCCAGCCAGGCCTGGACCGCACCTGCCCTCCACTGTGACATGCATGTGCTTCGAGTGAGCTCCGCCTGCTGGAGGCGGTCCAGCTGCTCCTCTCCATCAGACAGGCTTTGCTGTGTGAGGCTGTCAGAGTCTGGATTGGTCAGGAGACGTTATGGTGTGGCATACAGGAAGAGGTTCAGGGTCAGAGGGAAATCAAAGAAATGACTCATCTGGAGACAATCTGACAGCAGATTAGAGGAAAAATCCGCCTCAGCGTGTAACAATACACAGTAAGGATGCTACGCTAAAGTATAGAAGTCTTGTTTCAGAAATGTGCTTTTCTCACTTTTCCTTTGCATGGTGAGGCCAGTCAGGCCACTAGATGGTGCCAGAATGTTTTACTGGAAATACTCCTTCACTGTCTTTGAGTGAATTGTATTCAGACAGCTAACAAGATGTATTTTTATAAAACAGGTGAAACTACATGGCTGAGTGCATCTAAATCTGTCGCCGTTCTGAGACTCCAACGTTTAGTAAAGGCGTTAAAACACTATCTGATGGTTATGAGGGGACTTCAGACCATTAGGATAATGTATTAGAGACACAGGGATTATTCATAAAACGTCATGCTTCTACCCATGAAGCGCTCATTTCAAAGACAGGAAACACTGATCGAGACTGAACCGACGAATCCAGGATGAGCTCTGCCTGTTGCTGATTCGTCTCCACATGCCGACAGAAATGCTGCATGCAACGTCCACCGTCTCTCCAACGGGAGCTCTCATAAAAAACAATGACACAAACTGGTCTCTTCCAATGGACATGAGTGATATGAATAATCCCCAGAGTGCAGAAACAGACAGCTGGTAATCACAGATGAGGAGTTACTCACTGGCAGGAGAGAGTTGCCATTAGAAATGGCAGGAGGAGAGGGAGAGACATGTTAGACTGGGACACAAGAACAAGATTACTCATGGAACAGAAAACTACCACATAGGATGTGTTCAGTTACTAGTTTTATTTTTAAAATAAGATTTCATTTCAATTATATGTCATTTTGAAAATTGCTAAAGCCTCCTCGACATCTGGCTGCAACAGCTGCAGCAGATAAATATTTGAAGTAACCTCTGGTTTGTCTCATTTTTTTTCTTTTTTTAAATAAAATACTTCAATAGATTTACTCTTTTATGCAACATTTCCTAAATTACAAAGCATTTAACAGATTTATTAGAGCCACATTTGCAAGAAATGAGGAGGGATTTCTACAAAACGAAAACAGCAAAAATAAAATAAAACAACCAAACAAAAATAAAAAATCCAAAAGGGGAGAAGTGGGAGGACCATGCATTCATAATGCAAGGAAAGGTAACTGGGTAACGGGAACGGAGGGGGGGCAGCATAAAGCAACACAGGATCGTGGAGATTATTAATTTGATTGGCAATGAATGAATGTCTAATCAGAGCAACACAGAGGGAGCATGCATGTGTTGAATGCACATTCCTTCGTGTGGTATTGGCACATGTTAGACAGCTCTCAGTGAGGAGTGGCAGAAGCAGTGCTACCAGGCTAGCGCTAACAGTGACAGAATGATGCGGCCGTTATTCAGGGATGCGTGTTAAACCTTTGGCACTTGCACATGTGTTTGACAGCAGGCGAGAGGCGTGCCGTGATCTGCACCACTGCTCGTCTTTTGGTCGCGTATTCAGATCTGTGAAATTGCGTTTTCTCTGGACGGCTGACTCTAGAACCCACGTCGGCCAGCCGGTAATTACAGTAACTGAGAACATTATTTTAAAAGGAAACCTCGCTCCCTGCTGCCCACAGCGTCGTAAATACATCTGACTGTGAGGCAGCATGTATACGAATGTAATGACCATCCTGGAGCAGCAGAACCTCTCAGAAAGTTTTTCCAATTCGATTTGAAGCAACAGTTTTAAACTCCAATCAAAGTTTGTTTGTTTTTCAAGTCAATCAGGTCATATCTCCTCTTTCATCGTGAGAAATGGGCCCGAAAGACCAGGAATAAGAACAAAAGGTAGAAATCAATGTTGCGAAGCGTGATCAAAGCAACTGGAACAAAAACCAAATGACATTTACAGTAAAACACTAGTTTCACAATAGCTCCTATGTACATATGAACAGCAGTCCTTCAAGTCTCCAGTTATAAAAAAAACATAAAACATTAAGACATTTAGAAGATAATACAGCATAAACATGTCTACACATAGTAATAACCCCATATATATATATTTATATGCATGTAAACATATATACATATGCATACATGTACAACTATAAATATATATCTAATTTACAAACATACAATCTGAGGGGAGTGTTCTGTACATTTATGGGGATAGCAGTCTCTGTGAGGGCTTCTCATGTAAATCCACCTCCCCTCCTCCCTCCACACAAACCCACAAACAGAACAGTCTTCACACACAGTTAAAGCCAGGTGGGTATCCACACACACACACACACACACACACACACACACACGCTCAGCATCACCAGTCGGCATCCTCCTCTATGTAATAATCAGGGGTGGCTGTACCATCAAACAAGCCGGGCTCCAGTGACTTGCGCTGCTTTCCCCGAGCGAACACCCGCGACAGGGATCCCAGAGTCATCTTCTCCTTCTTCTTCTTACGCTTCTGGTCCTCCAGGTCCTCCATAGACTGGACGGGCAGAGCAGACAGCGAGCTCGGGTTAAAGAAATACTGCACACTTTGTGAAGCTTTTCTGTTAGAGGAGAGGACTGCTGCTCTCGTGTCTGTACGGTAAATATGAAGCTGCATGAACATCCTGCAACAGCTGGTACTGGTTCTGTTTAACCCACTGGAAACCTCTAAAGCTCCCCAGCTGATGAGATGTGTCCTGGTTGTTTAATCACAGCTAAAAAAAGCCTCAAAATGGTGTTTTATGGGTTTGTGTTCGATGCCTTTGTGCGGTGACTTTACTTTACCTTTAAGTTTTTCATCAGATTAAAACAACGACAATTCAGATACGTTTAGAGGTGCTGCTGGATGGATTTTATCACCGGACGATGGAGCCGTGGCTCTACTTTCTGTTACGTTCAATCCTTCCTCATCCTACAGTCGTCCTCACATGTATTCACAGCCTCCCATTAAAGAAGGAAAAAACAGCTTCAGTCACTGAAATAAGTCGAAATTGACAAAAGTAATAATAAATAAAAATTTAATGAACATCAAGACGTTGCTTTTGAATTGTGGTTCAACAGAAATATTCAACAAAAACCAGCATGATGGGACCCGTGAACTACTATCTAGCTGAACAACCCTCTGAGCCAATCACTGCCATCAGGTGTTTCCTGTAGCTCTCAGTCAGACTTGTGCACCTGTTGACAGGTATTTTAATCCACTGCTCATCAGCAAAGGACTCTCATTGGTCCATTTTTTGTTTTTTAAAATTATTCTTTTCAACCACAATTCAAAAGCAACGTCTTATTTCACTAAATTATAATTTAGCAAATTTTTATTTATTATTACTTTTTCCAGTTTCTGTTTATTTGAGTGACTGTTGTGACTTTTGCCTTTTCTTTAATGTGAGGTGATGAGTAAATCTGAGGATGACTGTAGCGAGGTAACTACAGACTCCAAGATCCTGCATTTTCAGTCCAGCTGAGCTCATCCTTGGTGCCTCCATCCCAGGCAGTTCCTGGAAGGCGTCCCTCGTGGGGCAGATGATACCGCATCAGGCTGTACAATAGCTTCTTCCTTCACATCTCCGTTACATCCACACCTGCAGCGTTTGAACTCTAAAACACCTCCACCTGCCTTGAAGTCTCCGTCCTGTTGTCTGATTTAATCTCTGAAATCTCATCCCTGTGTATCAAAGTTATGAGACGGTTTCTCCATGAAAATAATCCCTTCCTGGCTCAGACGTGCAGTAACGCTACACCTGTGCTTCCTCCACAAAGGTTGGATGTGTGGAGTCTCCGCCTCTCTCTGCGGCTCGCTGCAGCTGGATGATGACTCAGCTCGACACTGGAAAGCCACTCCACGCTACACAAAGGCACCGCTATGAAACTGGAGAGGTTCAGCCGTACATGTTGGAACTAGAAACCCAGGAAGAACGATAGAGAACGCTGCACCCTGCAAGTCGGCAGGATTGGTGCTTTGGGTTTGTTACGTATAAAACTCTTGTTCTTGAGTCTGTCATTGATAAGCTACAGCTTCAAGGTGGAAATGCTCCTCTGAGGCATCGGCTGCTTTTTATTTAATGTCTTCCAGCATTTAAAGACACCATATGGACACGTTAACTAGATAGGAGATGGCTACCTGACGTCCTCAGATTTATTCACACCCTTCCATTAAAGAAAAGGCAAAACTCACAACAGTCACTCAAATAACTAGAAACTGAAAAAAGTAAGAATAAATAAAAATTTGCTAAATTATAATTTAGTGAAATAAGACCTTGCTTTTGAATTGTGGTTGGAAAGAATAATTTAAAAAAATAAAAAAAAACAGTCCTGGACAAAGTAAATATTAGTGTACGGGTCCCATCATGCTTGTTTTTTTTTTTTTGTTTGTTTGTTTTTTATATTTCTGTTGAAGCACAATTCAGAAGCAACGTCATGACTTTCATTAAATGTTTATTTATTATTACTTTTGTCAATTTTAACTCATCTCAGTAACTGCAGCTGTTGTTTCCTTCTATAGTGGGAGGCTATGAATAAATATGAGGACGACTGTATAGAGATGTGTTTACATAAATGCACTTTTGCATTTTGTTCGATCCTCCATGTTGAGTAAATCTGATTTTCTACAACGGTCCTGTTTAGTTGCACTACATGTTGTTTGCGGTTCTGTCTGCAGCTTCCTCCACCTGAGAACTTCATACATGAGATGAATCTGCTGGTTCTGGTTCCAGTCCTGCACCAGACCAACCAGCTGCAGCTTCATATTTACAGCAGAAACACGAGCGCTGTCAGTCCTCTCATTAAACCAGACAGGAAACAGAACTCTGAAAATACCTCCACCACCAGCAGAACCCAACAAGCACTCAGGACAGAGGAGCAGACAGGAGAGGATGGAGGAGGAGGGGAGGGAACCACCAACAGGAGGTGGTGGAGGTGTGGTGGAGGTGTGATGGAGGTGTGATGGAGGTGTGATGGGGGGGTGGTGGAGGTGTGGTGGGGGGCGGGCCGGGCAGCTCTTACATTGCAGAGGGAGTGGGTCCGGTGGCGAGGTGAGTTGATGTCACTGGGCGTGGACGAGCGGTCGCCGTCCGCCGCAGAGGCGTCAGAGATCACAGAGGGCTGACGAGAGTGGCAGGGGCTGATCCTGACCACGGCTGAAGGTGTCACACACACACACACACACACACACACATGTTGAAAATCCCCTCAGTTAGACAGAGAAACCTCCAGGAGAACCCTCTGTTAGTACCCCACGAAGCAGCACCAAGCGATAAGGAGACGGCGAGCGGATGAGAAGGAGGAACCTACCCTGTCTGTCCGGGGCGTGTCCGTGGTACAGCGTCTGCTGGCTCTGGCGGATGGCGGCCGTGAGCGGCAGGTCGGCCTGCATCACCCACTCCTGGCTGCCGTTCACCACCGGCTCCGTGGGCATGGCCAGGGAGTGCCGCTTGGGGACGTCTTTCGTCAGAGTGGCGAGAGACTGTTTAGCCTGAAGGAGAACACATAAAGGAAACAGAAGCATTGGTGGAAGTAAAACACACAGAAACGTGTTCACAGCCTCACATTAAAGAAGATTCAAGATTCAAGAGTTTTATTGTCATATGCACAGCAAAACAGGTAGTTGTACTACACAATGAAATTCTTACTCTGTTCAATCCCCCGAAAAAGACGATACATTAAAGATGAAAGAAGGAAAATGAATCACTGGAATAAGCTGAAATTGACAAAAGTAATAATAAATAAAAAAATTGTACGAACATCGTGACATTGCTTTTGAATTGTGGTTCAACAGAAATATTTAAAAACTGAACAACCCTCTGAGCCAATCACTGCCATCAGGTGTTTCCTGTAACTCTCAGTCAGACTTGTGCACCTGTTGACAGGTGTTCTGGACCACTGCTCATCAGCAAAGGCCTCTCATTGGTCCAGGACAGCTTTTTGTTTTTTTAAATTATTCTTTTCAACCACAATTCAAAAGCAACGTCCAATTTCACTAAATTATAATTTAACAAATTTTTATTTATTATTACTTTTTTCAGTTTCTGTTTATTAGAGGGACTGTTTTTTCTTCAATGGAAGAGGATGAATACATCTGAGGACTGTACATGCATGCTACAGCTCACCTACATACGAGATCTCTACAGTTTAAGGATACTATACTGCTGTCGAGGTTTTCTTATAATAATGACAGTGAAGTGATTCTTGTGTAAACGGTTCTAGCAGGTTCTAGCGGGTTCCTCTGCGCTGGAGGCTTTCACTGATGTTCAGAAACTTTCACAAACACACCAGCAAACACTCTGTTGCACCGGATGACATGTTTCAATCCGGATCACCGCTAAAATCCTCACAAGACGATCAAATGAGTGTTAATCCACTGCTGGAAATAGACCCAAACAAACACACTGTTTACTCCTGTTTAAGGAACACTTGCACACAAATACAGCGTTTTGTTTTTTTTCTTAAAATGAGACGATTTATTTCATCAGTTTT